AGCAGTTGTTCCTGGGCATTTCATCGCTTTTACCACCTCAACAACTTCTTTATATCATTTCTTGAGGTCCTCTTTTGTCTTGCCAGGCACTGCTCCCTCTATTTTTCCTCATCTTTCAGGTGCATCTGAAGGAGGCCTACTTCATGTACTTGAGAGACTACTCCACGTTCTTTTAAAAATTATCCAAAGCCTTTTTTGTCGTCTTTTTTTTAATGAGGGTCAAGTTTTCAGAGGCTCAATTTTCTTTGCCAATAAGTTCTCTTGACTCCAAAAAAACAATGTGTGTTCATATAATTGGTAATAACTTCCCATATTGAATTAGTTCATGCAGAAAAGGGGCCTGTGGCTTTAATTAGTAACTGCAGACCAATGCTCCTCTGACCAATTTCTACTGCCATTTCCACCTTTGACAGGTGATTTCTCTGCATTCTTTGATGCTTGTCACACACACAAGCCTCCCCTTCCTCTTTCTCCATTCTAATTGGCTCATTTATTTCTTCCGTTTTTACCAGAGCAGCCATTCCTAGATTTTTGTAGATGAGGTATTTCACTGAAGTGCTGTAAACTTGCTAGTTGAAGCCTATCACAAAGTTTTTCCACTTCTTCTACCTTTTCCACTTATTGTCAGAAAAAGTGATTTCCAGTCTTCCTTGAATTTTGAAGGTTTGTCTTTTCCTTTTAACGACTCTTTTCTGGATATCTTTTCCCTTCTTTGCCAACAAAAAAAAAATATATTTAAAAAATGGGCAGAGGACCTGAACAGACATTTCTCAAAAGGAAACATACAAATAGCCAGCAGGCATTTGAAAAGGTGCTCAGCATCTCCAATTATCAGTTTTATTTTTTAAATGCATACACAACAAAGACTGTCCATAAGTCATTTCTCGGCTCCATTTGCATTCAGCAGTTGTTCCTGGGCATTTCATCGCTTTTACCACCTCAACAACTTCTTTATATCATTTCTTGAGGTCCTCTTTTGTCTTGCCAGGCACTGCTCCCTCTATTTTTCCTCATCTTTCAGGTGCATCTGAAGGAGGCCTACTTCATGTACTTGAGAGACTACTCCACGTTCTTTTAAAAATTATCCAAAGCCTTTTTTGTCGTCTTTTTTTT